AGCTGTTTCAGGATGAACACTACTCTCTCACTTACTGGAAATGACTTGCGGTCGTGCTGCACTCCTTATTATTTTATTTTTTACTTTGGGAATAAATACACGCTTTTAAAAGATTACTGGAATTATGAGCGTTTCACTTCCTTCTAATAACAAGAAATTCGGCTCACATTTACACAAATATAAATCAAAACTCTAGGGAATTCAACAGACTGACTCTGGATGTCTATTACTGGAAAGGCGAAGACTCATACTAAGATCAAAATAATAAGGAGGTATGCCTGAGGTTTCCTTGTTAACTACCCTTTGTGCAAATATTTTACCTTTGTCCACTGACACGCAATTGTCAGCGCGATGGCTGCAACTGAAATGTGCTCTATGTATACACCTGGGAAGCAAAACAAGGAAATTGAAAAAGCAACAAGAGTTCCAATCCTATATACTTTAATCCAAAATGGAAAATAAAAAAATGTTTACTGAAGACTGGCCTTGTGGTTAAAACACAGGAGTGGGAGTCATTAGTTCCCAGTACTGTTACTGACTTCTCGGGTAAATCATATCCTTTCTTGGTACTCTGGTTCTCCTCTAAAAGCTGAGAGTTATCAAGCTTATCTACTAACAGAAGCAAGATGAGTATTCCTTTGCTGACACAAACAAAAGAAAGTTGGGAAAGATTAAATATTTTTTGTGAGCGAATCAAATGGGAAAATTTTCCAAACAAAGAGTGCAAAACTTTTTTCTATGACTATAGCTGAGCCTCTCAACTCTGACAATTTAGGTCTTCTTTTCCTCTTTCTACCAGCAGATTTTTCCTCTGTAGAAACCAATCGAATACACCAACTGAAGCAGTAAACCAAATCCTCACGTTTGGTCTGCCATTACCCAGGAAACTGGTAAAATTGAGGCAGAATTTCTTGTGTTTTCAGACTGGACACACTCTGGAAACAAAATTTTCTGGGCTCTGAAAACGCAAGTTCCAAAGAGATGAAAGCCCCAAAAATCAAAGTTGGCAAATCATTCAAAAAATCAAGCTCATGCCACATGCAGATGTTTCACCTGAGGGTTCTGGAGACAGTTATTCCTTGACACATTGATAACTAAACAGAATGAATAAATCAGCGCTACATTCCGTCAAGACTCTTGATATTAATTCCTACAATTTACTAGCAGCAAGAAACACCTGATCCTGAGACATCACCAAAACTAATGCTAGCAGAAGCAGGCAAAACACTGATGGCAGTCTAACGCTGTTACTGAGCAGAGGGAGCTACGTTTTAAAGGCTGAACTACACTTCCCCATCAAAACCAATCACAAATGCATTATTTACTGTGTCTAATTTGTTTAACCAGGCAAATCTGGATTTCCCAGTTTATGAATCAGCGTTATATACATGCAATAGTCAGAAAGGGGAACTAAACCACCAGCTTTACCATCAAAGCATCAGGCAGTCATCACTCATGCCAAAAGAGAGATAAAGCACGAGCCCTGTGCCTGCCCACCAAAGTCCCGTATTTGTATTATGTTGGGGCCCTGGAGATACTGGTACGCTTCTGGGAACTGTTCCTTACCACACCATGTTGAACCCCCGATCAGCATCAGGCTTGTGCCACCCCACATCTCATATTCCTACTTTCCCAATCCTCTCTACAGTCCCAGTATTCCATGCCCTCTGCCTCCCCCCCAACACACTTCTAACCACTCTGGCTTCCTACTTACATTCCCAGTCTCACCTCTGTTTAGCCTTCTCTCCAGAAAGCCCCAGCCTCAAAACGTTCCCGGTTTCCTAACCCACAATCCGGACATCCCACGTCCACTACCCCACCCTGTTCTCCCCTGGAAGTGCAGATCCCAGCACTGGCTCCAGCACAGCCCAGGTTGCTGCAGCGTTCACAGTCCAAGTGCAGAAGCAGCTTTAACACTGGATGAAACACAATTTTTCAGCCAGTAAACAGATGTATTCCTCTACAACGTACCCCCAGGTGACACCTCAGACACCCCCCTTCAGGAAAGGGTGTATTATCTTGGACTGAGCAACACTCGCTGCAGGACAAAGCCAGCATGTAAAACCTCATTATTACACTACAACTCATCAATGTATCCACACCCAAACTACTCACAGCACATGGTTCAAAGGCACCTCGTACAGGCCTGTTACTTAGCATCACTCTAGGCTGGACAAAACTTCTTTTGCCCATCTTTTGGATTGAGACCTTGTACCAAAAAGAAAAAATCTGGTTCTCATAAAGCATGACCTCACTGTCTAGAAATTACTTTTCTGCTGTTATTCCTTGCATCACTGCTGTTCCAATGAAACCAACTAGGATTTGTAACTTTGACATCTTGAACACAATCAGCAGCCACACTACCTGGCACGTAGCCTTACAGACTCCAGCAGAGTGATTGTGAGAGATCAGAGGAAAGGGGCACACACATTTACCTCAGCTGCAGAGATCACAGCAAGCATCTCTGTGGTGACTAACTCAAAGTGAGATTATGATCAGGAGCTTGGCCATCCATGAATCACCTTCTTACTAGAAGATGGGGCCTTCATGCACGTCCATGGCTGGGTGTTCTGATTTAAAATATATGGGTTTACTCATCTTCAGACCTCCTGTCTCTCTTCCAGAGAAAGAGTGCAACTAGAAACAAGAGGTTCAAATCCTGGATCATGTATCAACAATGTTAACCAAGCTCCAATTGCAAAATCTGTGGTAACTGCCATTACGAATGGAAAAAGAGGACCAAGCCAGCCAGCTGAAAAATCTGTTTCTGTATATTACCAACTACAGGCTGACGTGGGCCCTACTTAGGGGGGAAATTTCAAAAGATACAGTCTGCTCAAGCTCTGCTGGGAAACCTCAGTACACGGGGTAGATTCCCTACAAAAGGATCATGGTATAAGCTTATTCTGCACTGATACGGAGACATAACTATAAAACCAACGTGGAACCGTCAGGTCATTCTCTAAGCTAACAGGCAAATCAGATTTTCTGCTCTGAAAGAGTAATAAACAAAAAGCAAAGGAAACAATTCCCTGTACCAGTTCAGACAAGAAAGTAAACTAAAATGCCAATATTTTAACATGGAAATCGAAATTGGTCCTCCCAATGTGAAAGTGATTTTTTTATTAGCAAAAAGGGCACTTGGGATGGCTCAGATAATTTAAAAAAAAAAGAAGATTTTGAGCATTTGTGAGCAGCTCTGCCTGAGAGGGGGTGTGAGAACACAAGAGGAAGGGTACAAAGCTGGACTGAAGTGTGCACACGGGGAAAGAACCTTTCCTGAAGATGTGCTACTCTGGAGAACAGATCTGGCACTGTAAGGCTTGGCCTTGCAATGGAGAGAGATGGAGGGAGATGAAGGGAAATTTAAAGAAAGACAAGAAAAAAGAGGTTCCATAACAGGTAGCATTTTCCATGTGTTCCAGCTTGCAAACGAGGGCAGGATCAAACAAGCCAGAACCAACATATAAAGAGACAAGCTGAGGTTAAGTGTGGTAATCAGGTGCAGTGTCACTGACCTCTTTCGCCTGTTTCTGGTGGAGGAGGAGAGTCATAACCATACATTCAATACTTTCACAAGTGTAAAAGACTGAATGTATCCCCCTGGCTGTGAGGAGGCAGTTTGAGTTCAATATTGCTTCCATCCTGCACTCACCAGATAGATCTCATGTAAATTACTTAATCTTGCAGTGCCTCATTCTCAATTTCTGAAGCGGAGCAGGCTTGATGTAATTTATTCCAGGATAGATTAAGAGGAGGTTTATGTTTTGCCTTTGAATGCAAGGGAGTAAAAATCTTGAATTTGCCCTATTTAGTATAACATTTGGCAGCTAGTGTTTTCTATTCGCTAGATTAATTTCTTTTAAAATTACTATTTTCAATAACGGAAATAATATGACCAATGCCATTCACTTTACCCCACATATGCACAACCCAAAGCTAAACTGATCCATCATGCTCCTCGTTTTCCACTCTAAGTCTCACATTAACATTGCATAAACTTGCAATCTTCCTTTCCTTGCTTAAAAAAGTCTATTCATACATTTGACTTATAAACAACGTATTTGATAATAACAGCGAATGCCAAGAGGCTGAAAATATCATTGGTGTAAACCCAATTCCTTCTGTCTCCCAGAAATAAACTTGATCCCAGGTTTCTGAATGCAATTTCTAGTACAGATCACATAATAACTTACAGAATTCTTGAGGCAGGAATTTCTGTTTCAGTCTTATTCAAGGCAAAATAAAGCATCAGTTTGATTGGTTTTAGACAAGGAAAGTAAGCACAGTCTATAAAGTGCAAATAAATACTATGTAATGTATTTTGGTTTGGTACAACTTAAAAACTCCAAAATGCTTTTTATCTCCAAAAATCTGGGAAAAGCAGAGGCAAGCATGATTTGCAAACATTTTAAGGCATTATCTAGCTTTCTGATGAATAAAATCTCATTTAACATGCTTTTTCACATTCGTCATTACCCTGACATAATGCAGCCTCTAGCTACAGACATTGCACGGAGAATAAACGGGATTTTTTTGAACTATTGAGTAACTCATATTTAAGGCACTAACAAATTATGTGTCATGTTTCAAGGATTTGGAAATGAATGTATTTGTATGCATTCCACTGAACCAGGCCATTCACAGGCCAGCTCCTCACCCTGGCATTACACTTCTGGTTTACTCAGTTGAGGTGGCAGATGAACTCTGTTGCTACAGCTGTCCTAGTGGTAACAGTACTAGTTAGTCATCCCGAGCACATCAATTTATCCAGCCCTAGGTGGGAAAGCTCATGCATCTGCTTAGAAGTAGCTGCAAAAGGCAAAAGACAAAAAGTGAAAAAACAAATGTGAGAGTTTGTACATTCAGGTATTTGTACTGGTCGCTCATGTATGCGCATGACTATGAAAACTACATAGTACAAAGATTTATTTTTATCCAAATAGAGTCGTTTCCACACCCTGCCCCAATTCCTTCCCCGGGGCAATCGACTTGGGGGTTCACAGAGTTGAGGCAGTCGTACTGAAGTCTGGAGCTGTGCTGTAGCATCCAGGTTTGTTCTGCTCCCTCTGTGGGGAAGCGCTGCGGAATCTGAAGTGTGTCAAGTGGGTCAGGTTCAGAAGTTGGTCAGTTCTGGTTCCTCCTGACACTCTGAATACCAGGTTCTGGAATCCAAATGAAGAGGATATTAATCAAAGTATGCCAAAGTGACTTTTCCTATTTTGATGAAGATCGGTGACCTGAACAGGCTTTTTTGCATCTGCACACCCTAGTTTACACAGCAGCAGAAGGAAAATATTTCCCTGTAGAGCATAGATAAGGATCTTCCACACCTTCTAGCATGACCAGCAGGTTGAGGGAGGTGATTCTCCCCCTCTGCTCCACTCTGATGAGACCTCACCTGCAGTTCTGCACCCAGCTCTGGGGCCCCCAACAGCAGAAGGATATAGACTAGTTGCAGTTAGTCCAGAGAAGGCCACAGAGATGCTCCGAGGGCTGGAGCCCCTCTGCTATGGGGACAGGCTGGAGAGTTGGGGGTGTTCAGCCTGGAGAAGAGAAGGCTCCAGGGAGACCTTATTGCAGCCTTCCAGTACCTGAAGGGGCTACAAGGAAGCTGGAGGGGACTTTTTACAAGGGTCTGTAGGGATAGAACAAGGTGTAATGGCTTTAAACTGAAAGCAGGGAGATTTAGAAGAGACTTAAGGAAGAAATTCTTCCTGGAGTGGGTGGTGAGGCACTGGGACAGGTCGCCCAGAGAAGCTGGGGATGCCCCATCCCTGGAAGTGTCCAAGGCCAGGCTGGATGAGGCTTGGAGCAAGCTGGTCTAGTGGAAGGTGTCCCTGACCATGGCAGGGAGTGGGACTGGATGGGCTTTAAGGTCCCTCCCAACCCAAACCATTCTGTGATTCTATGATTTCTGTTTGCTCAGCCATCAGTGATTATCATACCCTTTAGAGGGACAGGATTGCAATTGTCATCTGTGCAGTTCACAGCATCTCCGGGGACTCTTAACAGGTTATTCTTACCAGGTGAGGATGGGGAGAAGGCTCACTTTTCTTCCAGTGAAGCTCGCAGACCCAAACTGCTGAGAGTGGGGTCACCGGAAGGGATGATATTTTTCAAGCCAGCCAGGCAATGCTGTGAAAAGAGATGGGGATGCTAAATTGAACTATTGCTGCCTGTTATTATAAATAGTAACTTCTGCACAGAAAACTTCTAGCAGGTAATTAATTAATTTTTCAGGAGTCTTATATGACTAACAGGAAAGGGAAGAAATCTCTAATGAAGCAAAACTGCATAACTGTCCCCTCTTCCACCCTTCGCTGACTAAATTATTTCTAAAATGATCTCCTGCTTTATGAACTTGTGCTGGTTTTGGCTGGGATAAAGTTAATTTTCTTCACAGCAGCTACTATGGGGTTATGTTTTGGATTTGTGCTGGACACAGTGTTGATAACACAGGGATGTTCTCATTACTGCTGAGCAGTGCTCACATAGGTCAAGGCCTCTTCTGTCTCCCACCCAAGCCCATCAGCGAGGAGGCTTGGGGTGCACAAGAAGTTGGGAGCGGACACAGCTGAGACAGCTGACTCCAGCTGACCTCAGGGATATTCCAGACCATATGGTGTCATGCTCAGCATGTAAAGCTGGGGGAAGGAGGGGGGGATGTTTGGAGTTATGGCATCTGTCTTCCCAAGTGACTGTTCTGTGTGATGGAGCCCTGCCTTCCTGGCGATGGCTGAACACCAACCTGCTGATGGGAAGTGGTGAACGAATGCCTTGTTTAGCTTTCCCTATTAAACTGTCTCTATCACAACCCATGAATTTTCTCACTTTTACCCTTCCGATTCTCTTTCCCATCCCAGGGCGGAGGGACTGAGCAAGCAGCTGTGTGGTGCTTCATTGCTGGCTGTGGTTAAACCACAAGAGAACTCAGGCACCCAACCTCTCTGAACCTGTCTCAACTGACTCATCCAGTTCCCTAAACCTCAAAACCAGGCTTCTTTCCACCTCTTCCCTGGAAATCTCTAGACCAGGACTAGGTCTGATTAATAATACTGCCTGCAACGCTGCGTAGTGGCTAGAATACGTGACCAACTCTACAAAATCAGTTTTACATCCACTGTTGCCGCTACTGGTTTTGCCTGGCCCCTATACACTGTGAATACTTCACAGAAGCTTGTTTTTTTAGACTCCCTAACTCTGTGGAAAGAAACACAGGCACTCTTAGGTATGATTCACCACGTTGAAAGGTCAGTGCCTGGAATGAGTCTGGTGAATCGTGCCCTGCAAGTATACAGCTCCATATGGCACTTTGTTTTTCTCAGTGTAAAGCATGTGGAGATATGTAATATGCCAGTGACACAAAGTATGAACTCAGGAGCACACCCCAAGGTCTTTTCCTGCTATCTCAGTGATACAGATCAGGAATTTTAGAGGAAACCCTGCCTGGGGGATGAGTCCCAGATTCTTTTTCCTTCTTGCGCTGTAAAACAATGCCCAGTCCGGGCTCTGCCATCAGTATCAGCAAGAAGACAGCAACTTACCGAGGGCAATGCCAGACTGTCTGCTGGTTCAAAGCTCTTCCTGCGATGGGCTTTGTATTTGTAGGCAGGCATAAGGGTAGATCTGGGAATGCTGACCCTGCAACCACACAAGGGAAGTTAATGCCTACACCCTCGACAAGGCAGAGGGAATTTGCATGTCTTCTCCACTCAGAATCCACGGGTCTAATCCCAAACTGAACCCAACGAAACAGTTTGAATTAGGGCATTGGACACTTAACATTCAGATTCCGGACCAAATTCAGATAAAACATCATTTCTCACTGACTTCAAAGCTGTTTCTGCTCATGGAAAAGATCAGTAGGGAGTTTTTAAGCAAGAGATATCTCTGCCTTGAGAACAGCAATATGATGCTGTTTCCTCCCCCACATGATCAGCTTTTTCTTCCTTGCTGTTTCCTTGAGTTCTGCATATTACAAAGCAATGATTCTTATCTACCTGACACAGGCTGGCTCTTCCGGTACCTTTGGGGGCCGGTGAGCACGTGGGACCTTACAGATGGTGCAGGCAGATTCTGCATCCACGGGGACAGTGAAGAGGCGCTGGTTTAATCGGTAACAGTAAACACCTGCCACAGAGTAACGAAACATGGTATTTCTAGTTTGTCAGAAGGTTCCTCAACCCAGTCAACAAAGCTGTGTTCTACCCCAGTGCCACACATGCATTCTATAGAAAGAGCTGCTTTTCCTAAAATATCTTTTACATTTCCTGTCCCCAAATAAGTTCCTAAAAAGCAAAACCAAAACTTCAACCTCCTCAACTTAAAAAGAGAACATTAGCCAATTACAAGAAACCCTGACAAAACAAGATGACGCTGAAGGAGTGAGGATCCCTGGAAGACTCAAGTCTCTTTGGAGTAGAAGTTGAATCTGGTTTAGAGGCTGCAGCTAAAAATAACACAATCTCCATGTCTTGCATAATTTGGGCCTCTCAGAATGACAGGCAAAGACTCCTCAGCTATTTGTTCACAGAAATTGGATTAGGAAGAAATTTGATCTTACACTTATGGGAACTGGCTATCAAATCTGGTTCTTGTTCAGGAATTACGTAATCCAGAGCCTTGGGCCTAGGGAAACACACAAACAAATCAGTTAGTGACGGGGGGCAGGCCCTCTGAACAGCCCCACCTTTTCCAAGCATAGGAAGGTGAAAGCCTACAAAGCCATCCTTAAAATTTCCTACTCCAGTCATGGAATCCAATCTGCCAATCAATCCCCTCTCATTTCTCTGACGGGATACCGGGATATACTGCTGCTTCAGCCCTTCCCCCCTACCCACTTACTCCAAGTGCTGCTCATGAACACACGCTTCTTTGTTGGCCTGTCGGAACTCCTGCAGCTCAGCAAAGTATCGATCAGATTTTTCTGCTACCGAAGGGCTTGTGTCTAGAAGCCCTGAAACACCAAGGAAAGAGGAAAGTCAGGGGTTTACCAAATTTGGGAAAGCACCAAAGCAAGCCTCATGCAAAACAGTCAAAACCACCAAAGGTCTGAAGCACCAAACAGATAATGAGAAGAGCATGCCATCACGCCAAGCCACAGACTGACTGTGTGATTGGCTCCCTTACTGCATTCATTCATTTTGGTTACTTGGTATCCCCTCTGACCCCACTCAGCTTTACCATTTGCTGCCTGGATTCCCATACCAGGTTCACCATTCCAGGGAAGCAAACATCACCTCTGGAATGGCTTCTGACAAAACTGCAGCATTCCCATAGCACTGCCACTTCACCATTCCAGGGAAGCAAACATCACCTCTGGAATGGCTTCTGACAAAACTGCAGCTCCTCTGCTGAGACCTGCTACGCGGGCTCTAGGTCTGCAGTTCAGTCACACCTCAACTTAAAGGGGTCGTAAACGCTGTTTTAACTCTTCCTATTGCCACATGATGTTGAGAGGTTTGCTTCAGGTTTAGGATTCACCTGCAATCCAGTCATAGCCCAGGAAAGGACGCACGGACCAACTGCTCGCAGGTACGGTATATTCTTCAGGGTCAGACTGAAAAGTCACATGACCAGCTTTCTTCTGGAAAGAAAACAATTCATAAAGACTTCCTTTACATCTAGTAGGACATTCAAAGGTACAACTTAGGAGATAACTGGCAGCTCTTCAAATGGGATAGGTGTGGCTTAGTGTGAGGCTAGATTCTACCTATGCCTCTACCAGTAACTTGCTCATCAGCCCCTTGTCTTCTCAATTCAAACAGAAAGAGGCAGGGGACTTGCCCAGGCTCAGGCAGTATTTTTCACGGCTTTAAACAAAATGCTAATTTCCCTGCATCCCACGTCCCCAGGGATCACGCCACCTGCAATGCCTTGGAGGGTGAGCATGGCAACAGCCTGCCCTTCACACTTCAGGAAACAAGCTACGTAGCAGCTGCGCTGCACCAGGCTGCTCTCCCCGAGCATATGGATCATACGGGCAAATGAGGAGTCTTACAGCGAAACGCTACAGTTTTCCAGTCTTTGGTTCAAGGGCTAAGGAAAACAGGGGCAGAACAAACTGCCAACAGCTTCTGCCTGCTAAGTCTGGAAACAGGTCTGACCCCAACTTCCAATTTACACAGTAGGAAGAAGGTAAGTGATGTTCCCCTGGCTCTTTCACCCCGCCCTTCTATTGACTTAGACACATAAGCAAAGCATTGGTTTCACCATTTACCTTGGACTGAGATGTCAGCAAGATTGATTTACGGACTACGGGCTCTCTAACGACCACATGCTGCTTGCTGCTCTCTTTGCTTTGTGTTCCGCTCAGTGATGGGTCCAAATGACCCTTAAGCTGTTTTTTCTCATGGAAACCGCGTAGCAGAGCAGACTGGTTTCTGTTCTCTCCATGGCCCAGAAGGGAGGATTCTTTCTCTGGACTTCCTTGAACATGGCCATCCCTATCCACTCCAGAGGTTTCCCTGCCACACGTAATGACTGCAGTCACTGGCATAACATTCTTCTCTTTCCCAGGAAAGCTGGAATCCAAGCCTACTGCTTCCTGCTTCTTCACTTGTTGCTGTACCACCCTGTCACTGCCGCTGTGTTTAAGATACGAACAGAGGGCTGCTCTGGCTGCATAAGCTCCAGATTCCACAGACACCGACGTTGCAGGGTCAGCTGCAGACTTCACAGCATCCACCTGATTTTCCTTCTGTAAGGACAGAGACTCTCATGCTACTCCCATTCAGATTACAAATACCTTTCATTAGGACATTTCACTCAGCAAGAGAAAAATCAACCCCTCATTCTAGTCTGCTCATCCCTTTAAGTTCCCGTAGGGAAAAAAGCAAAACCTGGGGTTATCGATGAGACATTATGAAGTGTTTGGAGGAGATGATAAGCAAGGGGTCTGTTTCCAGCGAAATGCTGCTTTTCCCAATTTGAGGACCTGCTAAACTGTCAGCCTTTGTGCTCAGAAGAAATAAAAGCATTATGTTCCACAATGTTCATTCTTATCTTAGATTATGAAACCTGCATTCTTTAGGCAGAAACTGACGTCCGAACCCTTCGCAAGGTGAACACATTTGAGACCACAGAACAAACAATAAACACAAGTCTAGCTAGTTTTCTAAACAGGCTCCATATTCCACTTTCTGCCAGCTGCTGCATGTCTAGCACAGACACAACACATACCCCTCTCTTGGGCAAGGGGGCAGATCTTTCAGTAGCTGTTCTGTTATGAAGAGATGCTGGAAAGAGGGGCTTGCTGGGAATTCTTTCTCTGATCTCCTCCTGCTTCACTCTCAGCCTTTGCAGAAGGTCTTGGTTGGCCTGACGCAACCTCTTCAGGTGCTCTAACTCCATCCTATGACAAGATTTTCCTGTGAAGCCAGAGGAAGGGTGAATTACATGAACGGAATTGTCAAGTGAAGAAGCAGACTCAGGAGAAACCACATTTAGAGGATTTTCATAAAAAACACTTACAGCTGTTGGATCATTGGGAGTGTTGACCATTGCTCCTGAGAAATCAGCCAGTCTCGGAACTTGCCATGCTAAGAACTAGCACCACTGCATACTTTTCTCCCCTCAGATGTACTGTCAAATATTTTACATCCAAAAAATGGTAGCTGACTAAACAGAGACAAGACACTCTTATAGAGAAAACAGTAAACATGAAAAAAGTCACGTCAAAAAGCTAAATAAGAGACATTTGGTTCAGAGGCTGATATTTAGGACAACCTTGTGTAATTCTGCTTTAATTTTCTTCTTAAACATCAAAATTTATATTGTGGTAATACCAGAATGCTCTTAAGTTCACAATATGAATAATGAATATAAATATATTTACTACATCCAAAAGAAATAGAGTCAAACTGTCTTCCACGTTCCCCAGGCAAGAAGACTCCAAAAGGCTCAATTATGACTTGGGACCAGGGCTCAGACAACTCGAATGTCACACATTTATCACTACGGGTTAGTGCCCTTTTACTAGAAGAGGCCAAAAAATGAGTTAATAAATAAAACTTCATTTGACAGGAAGACTGTCACACTGTTCAACATGTTTACAACATCACAAGCTCCTCTAAAATTGCAGAAAGTAGTGTTTTTTTATTAAAAACACCAGCCAACACCAAAACGCTACACCCCAACCCTCACATTGCTATCAATTATGTTCCCAGGGAAAACTATGTGCTGCTGGAGGACTTCTTGTTCTGAAGGATCCCTAAACCCTTCTCCAAGGCTCATCTGATTTGTTTTTGTGTCTGCCACCTTGGCAACTAGGCATGAGGAACCGAATGCACATGCTGTACAACAGCAACCGGAGGAAGGAAGAACAGTTCTAACAATCCAAAACCCACCACGTATCTTTTTGTTACAAGATGTGAAAGGTGCACTGGACATCAAACAGAAATCTGCCTTGAGGCACCAAATTTGAGATCATTGGAACAAAACGGGAGTTCTCACGGTATTCACAGGGCACAGCAAACGGCATCCTCTCGTCACCGCTCACCAGAAAGCAAATACTCGGAAAATAACATTAGCCAAGGGACTTTCTGGAAGGGTTTTACCAGAGGAGACCCACTCAGCATAATCGACAAGAGGCTGTTAGTCCTCCATGCTTAACCCCAGGGGCTCTGCGAGCCTGCTTTAGTCCGAATCCTCCGCGAAAAGGAGCTCAGCTAGAAATAAACAGGGATGCCTCCAGCCCCGGAGCTCTCACGGCTGCAGGAAGTTGTCCAACGCCTACGGAGAGCTTCCCGGAGCTGTTCGTGCGCAGACGGCCTGCTCCGGCTCCGCCGTGCCCACGGGGAGGCCTGGGCCCCGGACCCTTCCCCGGAGCTCTG